CTCTCTCTGTTGCATGTACTGCCGTCGGAAGGACTCCATCCCACGAGAATGGGGCAACGATGAGCTCTGTGTATTGCTCTTTATTCACAGTTATTGCTTCTCCCCCGAGACACTCAAACCAAACCTAGCGTAGAAAGGGGAGGGGGCGGCCTCAGGCCCCGGCTTAATTGGGGTCCCTATTTTTTCCTTCATTCGAAACAAAAAAATGCATACATTTCTAATTCAAATTAACCGCTATTAGTTAATTTTGTATGAAGAAGAGAATTATATTTATGTACTGGGGAGGGGGTGGAACTTCCGTTTGAAATAAGGGGTCCCGGGGTTCTTAAGTTTCGTAATGCCTTAAGCCTGTTATTTTGTCTGGGAGCTCCTGAAACCAAAACACAGCGATGTTCTTTGAGTATTACTCGTACTCGCATTACGTTTTGGGGACTTTCAATACATGATGGAGAAGTAGTTCGTGGTTTTCGTTTGTGGTGACGGCACTAGCGCGGCGTAAGAAATATATCTTTCCCCGTGACGTAAGGGCGCTCGTTTCAAGACTCGGCTTTCTCTTTATTTTTCAAGACCAAGCTGCGACGGACTCTCCAACGGCACTAGCATTGTTTTGTTACTTAGGATCTCTTTATTAAACAGCTGCTTTAGTTCTGTAACGTCAATCAGACATCCATGCGCGAAATTGATATACTTCGATAAATATTCTCTTCCTCTAGGAGAGACGTGATTGAAAAACGTTCGTTGAGAAATACAACAGCTAAAGATAGGAAATTTGTGTCTCGTCTGTTTTGGCGTAAACTATATAGTATTATTTGTAGATTAGTGTATTGGCTTAATGTAAACTGTTCAGTAATTCGTGCTATTATTCAGTCTCCAATGGGGCAATTATGAAATGTCTGTAGTGCTCATCCTTTACTGTTGTTGGATCCCACCGAAAGAAGCTATCACAGAAACAAATATTCTGATGCAGCCATGTGACTATTGCGTCTGCGCTTAATTGAACGTCACAAGGAAAAAACAAAGGTGAACAAAACCTATTGAACAATTATGAATGTGATATTAAAGTTGTGTAAACAGAGTCTGAAAGTCAAGGACGAGTTTATGAATCAAGAATTAGAAGAAACATCAAGTAAAGCAAAATTGGATGTATATTATCGCAAGCTAATGTTTAAATAATAATGTTATATAAATTTTGAAGATCAAGACAATGTATCATTTCTAGATACATGAGAACAGGTGTTTTGATTGAAATTATGTTTCATCAGACACCGAACCCTCATTAAAATGTGATTAATTAAAACCTGCACACGTTCTAGAAGTCCCTCATAGGAATTCTAAAACATCCTCTACACTCTGATTCAAGTACTACTCGTACATGATTCATATTTCATGATAAATCATGATTTGAGCGAATTAATGGGGTCTTTCCATCTGAAATCTTCTTGGTACTTGTAATAAGCCAGCCAATAGAGAACGTTGAGCAGACCAAAGGAAGCCGGGAAAAAGATGCGGGCGGCGCGGTCGATGTGCGACACGCTGTTGACGTAGCGGCTGGCTCTGGCCGCGTGGGCTGCCGCCCGCTGCCTCTGGCGGCGGTACTCGTCGTCGCCCATCAGGCAGTACAGCAGCTGGCGGCCCTTGGGCACGTGTCGCTCGGTCTGCGTGTGGCGCGTGACACGCGCGCGGGGGTGGGCGGGCGGCGACGGGCGCGACAGGCCGTAACTGATGGGGTCCTGCACAACAATCACCACAACACCTCGTAAAGCGGCTTCGTTTCACTACATTTGTAGCCCGCAAAATGATGATCTAGGGTCTTCACAATTGATTTTTTTAAATTTATTAAATGAAATAAATAAATTAGTTGTATTAGAAAAATCTCCATTTCTCAACTTCTCGTTATTTTCCTTCTTCACAGCTACTCAAACTCCCATTAATTAATCTTAGTTCATCGATTAAAAAAAATAATCGAATTTCTATTATTCAAATTTTTGCTCCTTTTTGAACGTGCCTACCGGACAAAATTTATGGCGCTTTTTCTTCTAAATACAGGGAAAATAATTGAAGTTTCATTTAACTTAAATGTTACAAAATTGGCCAAGGGAAAAACAATTAATTACGTTAGCAATAACTGAAAAGTTACACTTCAATCCAGCGATTCATATTTCAATTACTATTATCAGGATTATTTCTAGGTCCATCGAATAGCGCAAAGATAGGAAAAGACCCCTGGAAAAGCAAAATTAAATTTTAAACACTTATCACACGTTTCAGATAGATCCTTTTGTTTGTGAAAATGAATTTGATACACCTGGTATAATGCTCTACGTCTATTACAATGAAATTCTTCAAAAGAAACAGTAAGTTCATTTATGAAAAAGGACTCACATTATAAATAGGGCAAATAAGCGAGCTCCGCCTGCGGCCTCCTCTCGCGGAAGGGCTGCTGTTCGACTCAATCAGCTCTTCTTCGATTGGTGGTTCGGATTCTTCCCACTCATCTTCCTCTATGGGGATTTCCCCGCTTCCAACCTATTAGTGATATGTACACAATACATGAATTTGTTATTTTAAATTTTCGATAATATCAAATAAAATATTTAGTATAACTATCTGTTTAGTGGGTGATGTAAATATACATAATAATAAATATATACTCAATACTAAACAGGTATAAATACACAATAACAGACGGATAATAAACAGATAATAAAGAACATTTCAAAAGTTAAAAAGAAGTCAATAGATCAACAGGAGTGTCATTTTATTCAAGCAATTAAAGTGTCATTTTATAAACCACTAGTGGACCAGGCAATGCTTCGCTATTGCAATGTATTACACTTCATATGATAGTGATCACGTGATTGTTAATCACATTTTACGCTACGCTCTGCAAAATTTTAATAGATGAAAGACTTTCTCGCGAGTGTGGGCTTGTTCTATGTCCTGGTTTGGACGTGATTGTCAAGTATCCTATTGGTAAAATGTTCTTCCTTAAGTTTGGGCATGCATTCACATTCAGTGATTCATGCATTCATTCTGGGAGAAATTCGATTTACTTGTCCGATACAACATTTAAGTAATAATTCCGACTGATATTTCGCATCCCAGAGGCAGAATATGCAGCAAAGTCTCACTTAATACTTGAGGGTGTGGCGGGTTGCGTAGAGCTTCTGTTCAGGGGCGCTCGAGCCACATAAACGCATACAATCATCATTAACGCGTCTATGTGCGACAGACATACAATATTCCCATTGTACTGTGCCTATATTCTTCGCGCAAGTGCAAACAGTAAGTTGACAAAGATTTATCGCAATCGGATGGACGGTACGGCAGCGCAAAATGCACGAACAAACAAAAATTGATTTTCATTTAGTATTAGATTTAAACAATTTTGTAGATTGTAAATGTTTGTTGTGTATAAAATACGAGGTTCGACAACAAAGTAATGAGACTGATTTTCTTTGCAAGATGTGGCAACCGTGCAGGCTTGCATGGGCACAATCTCTTTGACCTTGGTCTGTATGTTGCTTCTAGTCTAAGCGGCACTTCGATGCAACTGCTCAATCGTGAATTGTGCTGTAATAAGTTAATAAATATTTGTGTCTTTCGTCACGGAAATGGAACCACATAATATTGCGCAACGGTATGCAATTTCTCGTTGTTAAATTGGGTGAAAACACGACGGTAAGCTTCAGAAGGCTGTTGGAGAGGAGGTTATATTAAGAGCCCAAGTTTTTCATTGGCACAAAAAGTTTAGTGATGGCAGAACGAATGTTGAAGATGAAGACCGCAGTGAACGACCATCAACCTCACGGACGGACGTCAACTTGGCCAGGGTGCGTGAACTTGTACGCTCTGATCGAAGACTATCCGTGAAAATATTTGCACAACAACTGAACATCAATCGAGAAACGGTTCGTCTAATAATAACTGAAGATCTTGGTATGAGAGAGATTTGTGCAAAAATGGTCCCCAAATATCTCACACAACAACAGCTAGAAACACTGAAAGATATTGCAGCCGATCTGGTTGAGCAAACGGAAATCAATCCAGAATTGTTGAGCTGTCTTATCACTGGTGATGAAAGTTGGGTTTTTCAGTACGATCCAGAGACGAAACGCCAAAGTTCGCAATGGTGCACAAAAGGATCGCCCAGACCAAAAAGAGCTCGCATATCAAAGTCAAAAGCGAAATGCATGCTTGTGTGCTTCTTTGATTCCAAGGGAATTGTTCATAAAGACTGGGTACCTCCTGGACAAACAGTTAACCAATATTACTACAAATAAATTTTCGAGAAAGACATTGTACAAGAGTTCTTTGTCTCCGTGCCAACATTGCTCGTAATTGGATTCTGCATCACGAAACCGCCATCCCGTACTGCTCTGTCAGTACAGCAGTTTTTAACCTCAAAACAAATTCCAGTGCTACCACAGCCACCTTATTCACCAGATATCGCCCCGTGCGACTTTTTTCTATTTCCAAGAGTCAAAACGGCGGTCAAGGGACACCATTTTCAAACAACACAAGATGTCCAAAAAGCTGTGACGAGGGTCTTGGATGATATTACAAAAGATGAGTTCCAGAAATGTTACCATCAATGGCAGAAACGCTGGAAAAAGTGTGTGCAATCACAAGGGAACTACTTTGAAGGAGACAACACTAAACTTGACTAAAACGGTAAGCAACATATTTTTCACATCAGTCTCATTACTTTATTGTAGCGCCTCATATATGTGTAATTTGAATATCAAGTATATTCGTTCTTTAAAGAGTATGTACATTTTTACTGGTAAAATTGAGTAGACATGTATTAAAGAGTATTTTGAAAGGCAATCATCATTGATAAAGACAGTCATTGTAAAACAGTAACACTGCGACGAATAGACTGTGAGACCCTTCCTTTCCTACTACTTGCGTACTTAATAAAGAAATCGAAGGCCATCAAGGATATATTAAGAAACCCTGAAACTTCTAAAAAGTACTTTCTGATAATGCTCTTTTTCTCATATAACAACGCAATCACTGGATTTGACACTCGTTGGTTCGCTTTTGCCTTAAATAAGAATGAACAGTTATATTCCTCAGTGTAATATTGAAGACACAAATATTGTTAATTGTCTAGTGGTTGTCCAATTTAATATAATATCATCATAATTTTACATCTGTTCGGGTTATCTATGAACACATTAGAATGCTTGCATATATCAAATGATATTGAATGGCTTTTATACTCTTTACTTTCCTTGATAGATTTGTTTGTTGATTCATAAAAAAAAATTACATTTCAACAATTTAACATTTTACAGTTGAAAGGCTTTAGAATAGATGCACTTCTGAATGAGATCGCCCGTATGCCAGTAAGAATGATTCAGGGAACCTCACAAAAGTTTAATTTATTTATATACCACCATTCTAATATATGTGAAGCAGTCGTTTCACATTAAAAAAAATAAGTTTCCTTCTTGGAAGAAAATGATGAAAATGGTATTCTCAGTTGCCGAAAATCTCAGGTTGATCTTACCCCTCCTTTCATTTTTTCTGAGCCATCTGATGCTACTCGCGCTGTGGTGCATGAACTCCCTTTTTTCCTTGATGGGTTCTATGAAAGGGCGTTCATGTTGCATTTTATATTTTATAACTATACATTTTCTTGTAAATCATATCATAACTTTGTTTCTTATCATTACATAATTCATAGGCATTCTTGCTAGCTTTAAATTAATAGGTATGCTCATAGCACACTCAGAAAAATTGAAATTATCACCTTTAGAAATTATCTCATAAAGACTATGCCTTCATATTCTACTTCACTGAAGTCGTAATGTACGCGAATAAATAATAGAGAATATGATGACTGTTTAGTAGAATGAAGCAAAAGAAATATTAAAAGTTTGACATTTAAAATAGGTGGAGTGAATGTGAGTAACATCCAAGAGCAGAAATATAAAAGAAACCGAAACTGGATTATACACTACATAAGGAAAGGGTTTTTACTACAATCTATTTATACTATAATTTATTGAAAAATTGATTGAATTGAATAGTAGCTCCATTTTGAAACACTAATATTAGTGTTTCAAAATGGAATGTTATATATGTAGATGAGTGCAGCATAAAAAATGAAATATATATATAATTTAAGGCCCCTCTGGGCCCACTTTCGCATTCTATTCTTTCTATTGAGAAGCTTCTGAAGACAATGTTAAATCAATTCACACTTAAATGAGGTGACAAATTATTATTTTCGTACAATGTTTCTTGGCTTTGCCATTCTCCTTTAGATGTTGTAGTTTTATTCAAATAAACTAAAAAATTATTACATTCATGTAACTTTGAACCATAATCTGATCAATTGCAAATAAAATCAATGAAAGTTGAAAGTCCATAATAGAGCAATAGTCTATAAGAATTATTAAAAATGAGTCAGTAGAGATTTATCCTTTTGTTATCGTGGAAACAGACATTATTCCTCATAATTTACTATGTCAATTGATATTAATGAATGAAGGTAGATATCTTACTCTTTTCCAAAATTGCAAACATATGCCGTATTGAGCTTTGAATAAACTTAAAAATAAATTAATAGTGGTATGTGCTGAATGAAGCAATTGGAAAATTATGGAATAATTACATGAATTTTTTAATGGTGCATGACAAATTAGGAAAGGAAGTCAATGGAAAATTTTACTACTGATAGAATGTTGACTCTATAGTTTGCCCTTGCACTAAATATTAATTAAGTCAGAGAGGGATAGAAATGTCCAACAAACAGATGTAATTTACAAAACGCAAATCAGAAAAAAAGTTAATAGAATCAGTCATCGAGGAGCAAAACTGGTTAAGCTTCAAAACAAAGACTAGCTTGTATCAAAAATACCTGACAAAACTAGGATCATCTTCTCCAGGAAGATAGATACAAAGTGACATAATTAGGAAATAAGAAACAAATGCTGATAGGGTTTTAAGTACAATATTGTGCAACTTTTGAAAATGTGTTAAAATGCAATAGGCTTATGTATTTGTGATGGCAAAAGAGTATTGATATCAATTGTGAATATTTGCAATGACAAGTCTAGTTTTAAAGTTATCTTGTGTTTCAAACTCAACAGGGAATAGGAAAATTGACCTTTAACTTAGCATTTCAAGTGTTGAGAAAACCAAGTCACTAATTTAGAGATATATACAGGAACCTTGAACATTTTAAGTGTATTTCATGCATATTAAATAGGATTCTAAAGCACAAGTATTCAGAACTTAGAAAGCGTTGTAAAATGGAAATTGAACTCAGACCTTATAAAGATCTAACAGCAGAAACGAGAATTCCAAGAAAATATATATGAAAAATCCAGTTCTGTGAATAAATATTGTCATAATTTTCACAAACTATCTATTTCCAATAAAGATAATTTTACCCAAAGTAAAAATATTGGTTTATTGTTGAGGAGTTGGTGGCATTTAAAAGAGCTACACTCTGATGTTCATTGCGTGAGGGTGAGAGGCATTCTAGTCATTTCTATATTAATATATCTTGACTAATAATTTTTATAATTTTAGACACTTTTTAAGTTTTTTATTGTATTCAAATTTCTGGCTTTCAGATAGTCAATCCAATGAAGTTCGTTAAGCTGTCAAAAGTTGCTTATGAAATAAATAAAAATATGTGTTTACCAACAACTTTAATTCAAATACAAAGTGAAAATTTCACTAACTAAAAATATAATAATACATTAGTACAGAAATTTATGTTTGTAATGAAGATGTAAAATAAATTAATCAATTATAAATTGAGGTGAGGTACAGGCCATTTAGCCATCTCTTCTGCCCAACCATATAAGTAGATCTCAAGATCTTAAGTAGACCATCTTAAGTAGTTGATCTCAAGATCCAGATATTATTTGAAATGTTGGTTTATTCTGTGTGATATAAAAAAGAACCCTTTCACATTTATGCTCTATTTTCTGTTGTTAGTTGTTGTATAAGGGTATTTGGCACTCCAGTGTATCCTACTAACAATATTTGGCAGTTTTTAAATTAATTCTCTTCATGATATTGTTACTGTATAATATTTAAAATTTATCATTTTACTTTAATTGCTTAAAATAAAAACAACTACATTCCTGACATAATACTGTAATGCCTTGCTTGAAGTACATTTTATAATATTGTTTGGGTTATATTTGAGATAGTACCAAAAAGTATATGAAATTATTTGAAGTGTTGCAATATGTACAATGAATTTTCTCTTTATATGATATAAACCACCATCTTGTTGGAAGATATTAAGAACTGCAGAAAATTATGATCTATATTGTTTTTGATAATTAATGTATCAATATGATAGAAAATATGCTCACATACTTCTTGTAATTTTATTTTATTTTTAACAACTTAATTTTTACTTTCTTATAGAGAACATAAGGTCTTAGTTTCTAGTTATTTATTGACAGTAAAGAATGACTTATTTCTATGAGAAGAGATGCGGTACATATCACAGGAAGGTTTGAATGAAGTTCCTTTTGGAAATGGAGCCCTTGCAAAGGACACAAGCTTTACCTTAGTGAAGTAGTGCACTGCAGCGAATTCTAACAGAGTGGCAATGCAATAGAAAAAGCTCATGAGAAGGAACCAATCAAGAGCTGTGGCATAACGCACTTTTGGCAAATCAGTACGGCTGTCCAAACTAATGGTAGAGAGTGTCAACACTGTTGTAATTCCTAACAAAAGACACAAATTAATCCTAATGTTACAACACTTTGCCATACATGGACAATAATTATTTACTTTTAAGGTATCATCCCAATATTAAAATAAAAGGTACTCTTATTAAGAAAATATTTACCTAGTCCTACACGGTCACTTGTGGCTTCTCGATGAATCCAAAAGGAGACCCATGACAGGACCACAATTAGAATACAGGGAACATAAACTTGAATTAAAAAGTAACCTGTGTGTCTTTGAAGGTTGAAATTGACTTGAAGGACAGAAAATTCACCTGAAAATATTTCAGAGTTGGTTAATAAACAAAGAAGTGTTTTCTGCATGTGTATTTAAGAATATACTAATAAAATTAATGCCAAAAATGTGTACGTCTTGCTCTTCAAAAAACATTATTATTAGCAATGTGTTTCTTGATTTTTTAAGACTTCCATATTTTGTTGCTGGTATTTCAAGGAAGGAAGACAAAGATCATATGATACATTTCCACTACAAAAAATAAGTAATTAATAAAAATGTTTGACAAAATATGGGAAATTAAAAAAGTACATACATAATTTACCTTCTCTGCGTCTGAATGTAATATTGCGTTTTGGAGAACCCATCAAATCAAATTGAGACAAAGCCATTCCAGAAACAAAGTCAACACTTTTACCATCAGTCCATTGGTATACAAGTTCTTGTGATGTATAAGCATCTATCAAGGGAAAAAAAATCAACCAGAAATTGATTTTGAGTAAACATCATTATTCCTAAACTTATGACTTATTTACTTACAGCTTCCAAATATTAAAGGGCATGACTGACTGTCCATTGGGAACTTTCGCAGTTCCATTGGGCATTTTGCTTTAATTGTCAACCTGTGTCAAAGGAGAAAATCATAGTAAATAAAAAATTGCAAAGATATTACATATTTAACTAAGAAAACTCATTTAAGCAACTCATACTCAAACTTCTAGTTGAAAATTCTTGGAGAAACGAAATATCCTTTTTAGTGGAATACTGGTTTGTCATATCTAATGCAAGACTTGATTTGCAAGATTAATTTACAAAATTTGAATGTACATATCTACTAATGCTTTGGAAAATAATTCTTTGCAACATCTTTAAGCATAAAAGTTTGTGATAATAATCAATTTTAACTTCAACATTTTTTGTGTGCAAAATTCCAATTTTGTAATTGTACACAAATAGATTTATGTCCTAATATTTATAACATGTATAATTTATTTCAAGAATCATTATTTTGAATATTTTTACTTCCAATGCAATCCCTTTGCAATCCATCAGTAGCCCAGGGCCGAAGGCATCACCAGTTCCAAATTAATATGCGGTGTGTGTGTGTGTGTGTGGGGTATTTAATAGATTAAGTGCAGATTTAAAGGGAGTTCCTTGCAATACATAGAATAGGGGATGACATGTCACTCTGACCCTGTAGGTGTTGATGCCCATGCACGAGACAGTCACTCTCCTCTCTGCAAACCAATAGAGTGACATATCAGTAAGGTGGAGGGGCTTAATTACTTTCCTCCAAAGTCAAAAATATTTTGTTATTTTACTCAATTTTTCAAAGAAATTATAACATTGATTGCATTACATCTAAAAGGGTATTCTCCTCATGAATATACTTTTCTAAAACTTTCAATCTAACAAATAAACAAACTAACAAAATTCAAAAATATTTATGGAGTTTATCCAAACTGTACTCTCTTCCCTTATCCCCTGAAATACTTTCTGAATCCACGTCTGCCTATGACAGACTTTTGGATTCTACAGAGGAGTTTCTTGTGCTTACAACACCCTGAAAAATCATGATGCAATGCATTTATTAATTTTAGGCACAATTTGTTTTTGGGATAGGTATTTTTTTCAAATGCTAACTAATAAATGGATATTCGTAATATATTAGTAAAATAAATTAAAATTTGCCAAATCCAAGAAGATTAGTGATAATGAGTAGTTCCATGTATTGTAATAATTAAATTTGACTTTGGGAATAATAATTTTGATAGATGCTGAAATTGAGATGCAATACCTAGATTTAACTCCCAATCGTACTACCGGCGTATCTTCAAAAATATATCTAGATCTATTGTTTTGTAGCCTAAATGGAGCATTTGATACAATACCTCATTGAGTAGAGAATGTCTCCATCTTGAGTGATGCGAAGCAATTTATTAGGCACAGTGATTGTGTGCACATAGGAGTTCTTTCCATTGTAGAAGTATGTGTCTGGCCGCCATATTCTTTCCAGCATTTTGATGCTGAGACTCAAATTTTTAATAGGGCCCGAAAAACTTAGGCGTGAGTCGCGCCATAATTGGCGAAAGTAGCAATCCATGGAGTAGTCCTTTACAACGAATGCAAATATAAATAAATGTTACAATGAATTAGATTTCTTTATCCTTTGCAACTGTTATACCCAATGAATCGTATTAAATTAGGTGTAAAAAAAAAAGAAAGAAAAACGTTACGTTGAGGAGAGGAATTGCTCATTCACACTTTTTAAATATGAAGGACTAGGTTAGCCTGTCGCCTTCGGTGGTGGCGGATACTTTCTTGTTTGTCAATTTGTGTGTGCTACGTTAGTTCAAATTGAACAGTTTTTTAAACAATAACGTTGCGTGGCTCGTCTTGCCGCAGAAACAAATTTACATGGAAAAGTATCGAAAGAAGTACTTAAAAAATCGTGTTTCCTTACATTAGTAGGTTTATCACCAGTTCTTTATAATCGTAAGCAAAACAATAACATAAAGAAAAAAACTATCGTCAGAGAACAAAAAACTTCGTCAGTGTAGTGAATCATATCCTAAGGATTCTCGTTGAGTTGGAAAGGTAGTGTAGTAATCCTTTAAACTCCCCTCCCAAAACATGTATTTTCTAGAATTCTTTCAGAATGTTTCAGAAAGCTTCAGGTAAAGTTAAATTCTAACGAATAATCTCGTCGAGAGCTAAAAAATGTGATCACTTCCGTAGATGGCTTAAAAACTCCCAAGGTCGCTTTTTAGAGATTTTAATCCCACTCCAGCGAGTTTTTTCGATAACTAACTAAAAAAATAGTTTTAATTATCGTCACGAATAAAGTCGTAAGATTCATGTAAAGATTCATGTAAAGATTCATGTAAATGCCGAAACGAGTGTTGCAAATCAAAACGACCATTGTTCTCGAAAATACATTGACATCATAAAAATGCGTTTTTCTAGAATTCTTTCAGAGCATCTTCGAAGGAATCGGCTAAGAATTATACTAATCAATTTATCGCGCCGAGAGGAATCTAATGTGCTCTTGATCACCTCCGAAGGTGCTTTGGTTAAAAAAAATACAGGCTCTTCTTTATTGATCTATCCAGAAAAGGAAAAAAGGAAGAAGAAGAATGAGAACATGAGCACCCCACCAGGGGGCGAGGCGCGTCGATTGACTCCTCATTTGCCTCGAGTGGTGACCCGGAAGGGATTTAACAGGAGGTGACAGACAGACAATGGGCGGACGAACGGACACAGGTTACTCGATTAGTTGACAAGAATTTTCTGAAAAATCCAAGCTAAAGCAGGCGATCACTACTGGCAAATATTTCCTTGTCACATCGAACGCACATAATTGAAAAATCGTTCCTCATAGGCCTCGAAGCCTATTGACTTGAATAATGTTGCTAAGGTCTTCATCTTGAAAGTGAGATCTTTTGAGAGCTGTTACATGTGGGGAAGTCGGTTCCTCTGGGTTCTCCTATGATGTAAGTTATTTACTTACACCTTGAGTATTCCCGCTCGGAAAGGCCGATCGGAGAAAAAAATAATTTCGTTCTACAGAAAGTAAATTAAAATGCAGCTTTAAAAATGATTTTTTATAGAATTAAATGCGTTTCGCTAGCATTTTCCCTCTCCATACGGATGTAATGAGAAAGGGAGAGGAATGCCATACTCATGTGCGATTTCTCTCTAATGCGAGTTCACTAATAACACAAATGGTAATTTGGAAAGCCTCTTGACTCAGGATATAATTAATATAATTAATATAAAATTCACTAATCTTGAATTGCTTTTTTATTTGTGCTGGTAATTTTTCTCCATTTTACACAGAAACATAACAGAATGGGATAAATTTGAACAATTTCTATTTGACAAATAAAAGTCACTATGTCACTTCCGTAAGAATTGGTACAGTATGAATAAAGCTATAGAAAATATTCATTTTTCAGTGATTTTCCAAAACAGGGTAATTGAGTAAGTTCTCTTTTTTACAACTAGGGACATACGAAACACACGAAATCGTAACAAGGCAGCACTAAAATTCACAACATATTCTGTAATGTGTATATAAGTACACTTCTTCATATACCGTTATTTGCTTAAATATTTTAGAAATAACAATAGTTAGAATCTATAATTGTTATTATTAGGTATTATATTTACAGTACTTCCCTCTCGGGGTAGAAACTCACCATGTCAAGTTCTGAAAAAGGTCCCATGCTGCGAATCAACATGTTGGTTCGCACCACTGTGGGGTGACCTGTAGACAGGCGGAAACGTCAAGATTTTCAGAAGTAAATAAATAAATTCCAAATTCCGGCATTCCAAATTTCCAGGAGAATGTACGACATCATGATTCAGGTTTCATGAAGCTTCAATGGAATGATGATTCAAACACCTTGAGAGCGAGAAATAATCCGAACTGAGGACGAGACATGCAACACGAGGGCAAGAATGAGAAGGCGGCTTTTATATGCATGTGAAGTGTGTTGACGTATTTCTCTTCTTACTGTCTGTCAGCAGCCACCTAACTCATTTGGTGGCCGGCCGTAATATTGTCATATTATGGAATGTTATTACGGGAATATAATGTCCCTATTACAATCTGAAAGGCATTTTAGTTTTTGAAACACTAGGACTCGACAAGTTAGATAAAATATCTTGACCTGCGCATGCGGAGAATGATAAAGAGAGGAAGATTCTCGCCATCTGGGGTTCTGATGTAACTGCCCACGTTGCCAGTACCAGTGAAGGGCCGGGGTGTGTCTAGCTGACCTGACCCTACCACCTGACCTTGAAAACAAAACAAATACGTAATTCTTTGTTTAGATCAGGCGTTTCCCTCCTCAGAGACGATCGGTCGATGCTCCCGCGCTTCCCCCCTCCCCCAGAGCGCTGTTACTCTTCCGACGAGTGCGGCGGTGCAGCCCGAGGGCCAATGGGGAGAGGGAGGGACAAGCAGGAACTCGTCTCCGGCGATTGTGTCATATTGATAGGAGAAGCTTCGCAAAACTACCTATCAGAGTAGCCGGTCGCTAGAATTTTCCCAGGCAGTGACTGAACACGGTCTATGTAGCTAGGGCCTAAAATTATGCCACTTTGGGGACTCAAACCGTAGGACCTCATGGTCAGAGACTCTGCAGTGAACACTATTGTTCCCATGAGCGAACTCAGCCGGTGAGCACGAAGAGGGAGATCTAATCAGCTTTCGCCAGCTCAACTCCGCAGTAGATCATGCCACTAAGGCGAGTTTTGTATATCGTTTCGCAATTCCTTCAAATGCTGTCTCATCTTCAACAGGTTTTATAAAGCTGTCGAAACAATACTTAGAAGCTTTTGTAAACCTCTTACTATGTACACTTTAATTGGATTGTTGGTGAAGTAGATACCTTTTTTTATTTTGATAAATAAATAGAACTTTGTTTTCGGCCCAGAAGCTGCAAGCTCTGAGGATGATCGCTACGCGATCGAAAATGATCATTGTTGAATTAAAATATTGATACCTGACAATATCTCTATTTATTTATGTACACTTTGTCAATTGATTCCTGACACCATGCGTGTCAACTACTAAATTAGTCCCGTGTGTGGCGCCGGTGGTCTCCCCCTGCTGCATGGCGAGATCCGGCGCCGACCTACGATAAACTCCTCACCTTCAAACTCCCGATAGCTGTGGTAGTGTAGTGCATGTAAGGGTAAGTGTCTCTAAGGTGTGGGTATAGGACAAGTAAGAGGAAGGAAATACCGCGCGTTGGGGTACAACTCCGGCATTCAGCTGGCATTGATCGAAAATACCACGGAAAAATGCCGTACAGAGCAGTCGGCCGCTAATATTGTTCTCTAGACAGCGACTAGTTCTCTAGCAAGAGCCAAACAATCCTTCCACCGTCGGACTCAAACACAGGGACCAGAGGCAGGCAAGAGGCGGGTCAGAGGCACTGCAGTATCATCAACTGATGCCCTGAGCCAACTCTGGCGGTTGCTTTATAGAGAGTCGCACTTTTGCCGTGGTTGGACAGCTGGCTGCTCTCGTAGTGCTGGGGAAACCTTTTACTGCGTATACGCATGCGAGAGTCGC